GTATCAGTTATAACCATCAATGTTAATGGTCTCAATTCACCAATCAAAAGAAATAGACTGCAAGAATGGGTCAAGAAGCAAGATCCAACAATATGCTGCATACAAGAAGCACACTTAATTCAAAAAGAAGCTCATAGACTGAAAGTTAAAGGGTGGAAAACAATACTCCATGCTACAGGAATCCAAAAATAAGGAGTAGCTATCCTCTTTGCAGATCAAGTGGATTACAAACCAACAATGATTAAGAGAGACAAAGAAGGACAGTACATCCTTGTAAAGGGAACAATCTAAGAGGAAGAGATGACAATCATAAATTTGTATGTACCAAACACTAGTGTGCCCAACTATATAAAACAAATACTAATGGAAATGAAAAATCATATAAGCACTAATACAATAGTAGCGGGGGACCTCAATGCCACACTGTCACATATAGATAGATCAACTAGACAAAAAACAAGCAATGAAACACTAGAACTCAATCAAACTCTTGAACAAATGAACTTAACAGATGTTTACAGTGTTCCACCTCACAAATCAGAACACACATTCTTTTTAGCTCCACATGGGTCGTTCTCCAAAATAGACCACATACTCACCCATAGAACATATTTAGGTAAGTACAAAGGAATTGAAGTTATCCCCTGTATATTAGCAGACCATAGTGTGATGAAATTGGAGATCAATAGCAAAAGAAACTGCAAAAATTTCATAAACACATGGAAATTGAATAACACACTTCTGAATAACCAATGGATCACAGAGGAAATTAAAGAAGAAATCAGACAATTCCTTCAATTAAATGGCAATGACAATACAACATATCAGAATCTATAGGACACAATGAAATGAGTCCTATGAGGGAAATTCATAGCAGTGAATACTCATATTAGGAAAACAGAGTGAGGCCAATTAAACAACTTGATGCTGAACCTCAAGCTTCTAGAAAAAGAAGAGCAGGACAAACCCAAAGCTCATACAAAGGGAGGAAATTATAAAGATCAGAGCAGAAATCAATGCATGGA